GGCCTCGGCCTCCATTTTTGTCTGTTGGCGGTGTAGGTGGTTGGTGTCTGGTGTTACTGCGCGGCGGGCTCGTTTTAGACCGCGGCCCTGAGAGCTGCAGGGAAGGAAGGAGGTTTCTGCCTTCTCAAAGCGAGGGAAGCTGAGGGGAAGGCCGCATCTCTCGGTGTTCCTGCGCTGTTGTGACAGCTCTGTGAGGTGTTGGAGCTTTGCCTTGGGTCTTGAGTGGGGTAAAGTAACCATGGTCTTTGCCAGTGTTAGGTATTGCTGTTCCCCAGGTTTCCTTTGGCTGTTTTGGTTTTGGTTTTTTTTTCTCAAGCAAAATGGTTTTGTTTTTTTTTTCTTCTTCCTGGTGATGTTCAGCTTGTTTTGTAATGTATCTGTTCAAATATGGAACAAGTGTGCTTTATCAATCCAAATTATACTTAAAGAAATTTGGGCTTAGGGCATGCTGCTTTCCTGCCATAACCTAGATGAAAACTTAATCACCTCATCATAGTTACCCTTTCAGGCAGCTTGTGAAGAGGCCTGGACACTTGAGTGGCCTTAAGTAGTTTATTAGGGCTGTGTGTAACTTGCAATTATCAAGTTAAGAGCTTGTTTTGTCCACTGTGGTATTTTAAATACTGTTAGCTGGCATGCTACTGTTACAAAAGCTCTACCTGCTTTTTTTTTTTTTTTGCTTTTTAACTGGTATAGATACGTAGCAAGGTGATTAATGCTGTAGACTAAATGATGATTTTTGTTTTAAGGCTGCAGATAATGGCTAGAGTAGCCTGATGGGTGCAGTCAGTCAACTCAATGCCTCGAATTCCTCCCTCCAGAACAATGCCGTACCAGGATGCTTCACTCATGATATTTAGTGTGTGTGCCTGCGCTCACAGAGTGGGCAGGTTAGTAAAAATGTCTGGTCAGCACAGTAGTTGCTGGTTAGCTTGAGGAAGCACTTTTCTTTTCCAGTGATGAAGGCTGGACTGCAAAAGGCACTTTATAACTCAGGTTGGTATTGTGCATCTCGCTTCGAAACTGTGAAAGCAAAGCCTGAAAAGAGATAAAAGCATCCCCTGAAGAACTGAAATATTTCTGCAGAGAGATGATAGAAGTTGGAATTATGTGAAGAGGTGAAAATTACAAGGTGATTGTGAAGCTTATAGAAAGAAATAAAGATACCTGTTCTTCAACTTTGTATTGGCTTCTTGATCTGATTGAAGGTTATTATTGCTGTAGTGCTACAACATTTGCTCATCCTATGAGTCTTTATCCATTCTCTGGAGTTTTATTTTTTTTAAATATGCAGGACTTGACACTAGTAGTTTTACTGGCACTTAACCTCTTGATTCTGTAGTCAAAGACTGAAGCAATTCTTGTGTGTCTTGCATTCCTATCACATCAATTGGGTAAGCTGTTTGTGGAGTGACCTTTCAGCAACGGGCATGCACACAAGAAGTTTATTTAGCATTCGTTAGTTATAAGCAATGCCTGCATTCTCTAATTTTACTGGAAATTACCCTGTGGTGTTACTTTACTGGGTGTTTTGTTACTGATCAAAAAAAAAAAATTGTCTATCTGCGTGTAATCCACTAGATGGTGTCATTAACATGAGTTAAATGGAAGGGCACTTAAACGGAGCTGCAGTTTATGTTGGTTTCTGTACTTCTCTTTGAATCTGCAGGTGCACCAAGACAGCTTTGGAGAAGGCTGTGCTTTAAAGCCAAGTGTGGTCTTTTTGGTGGGTTTCATGCCTTTCGTGTGGCACAAATTGGTAGCGTGAGTCTAGCACCTTTGCTCTAGTATGGTTGGGTTTTTTTGAGGCGGGGGGAAGCCTGCAAGTGAGGATAGCTGCTGATGCTGTTCTTAAGGGTGTAGTGGGTCTAGATAGACTAAACCATCTCCAGAGGTCCCTTCCAACCTCAAGTATTCTGTTACTGATGGCCTCTTGTTCAAGAATTACAGGGTGAGAGAGACTCCTTAGTGCAGCAAAGCAGCTGGTAGCTGTGGCTTCCCACATAGATTACAGTATAGCAAATTCCAATGGAAAGGAGGGGAGGGGCAGAGGGTGCTAACCTTTGTAGTGATTTCCTTTTATTTCTTGCTGTGGCAGAGATTTGATAGATACACTTTTATTTTAGGAGACACATAATTGCTTTGCCCAAACCTGTTTTAAAAGGAATGTTGAAGAATTCCCTTGGTGTCTGCAGAATGCCTTTCAGGACCAGGTTACAACAGCTGCTTGAAAGTTCTGCCCTTAAAATGGTCTTTAACATCTTGGTGTTAGCCCATTTGTCCATGGGTTTTGTGCAAGTGACTGCTGATAGGCATTCTCTGAAGACTGCATATTAGAGATGGGCCACTGTTGGGGAGTGACTAGGGTGACTGAGAATAATTGTATCTTGCGTTAGAGACAAGATTTGGCCCTGCATTTATGTCCAGGCCTTCTGCTGTCTGTCAAGAGACTGAGTGGGGATGGTTGCCGACTGCTCAAGAGGTATACTTTTGAAAACTATTTCTTTGTAGGCCTGTTGCAGCCTGTATAACTTGGAACTGTGGAGAACCAAGATGAGGTGGGGATCTCGCTCTTGTAAAATAGGTTAGCTTATCTAAGTGACATTAAAATGCAAAATCCACTGATTCAGAATTTGTTTTCTATGTTGGAGGATGTTGTGGTTTAACCCCAGTCGGTAACTAAGCACCATGCAGCTGCTCACTCACTCCCCCATCATCCAGTGGAATGGGGGAGAGAATTGGGGGAAAAAAAAAAAAGTAAAACTCGTGGATTGAGATAAGAACAGTTTAATAGAAGGGAAAGGAAGAAAATAATAATGACAATAATAACAATACTAAAATGACAATAATAATAAAAGGATTGGAATATGCAAAACAAGTGATACACAGTGCAATTGCTCACCACTTGCTGACCAATGTCCAGTTAGTTCCTGAGCAGTGATTTCCCCCCCAGGCCAACTCTCCCCAATTTATATACTGGGCATGACATCACATGGTATGGAATACCCCGTTGGCCAGTTTGGTTCAGCTGTCCTGGCTGTGTCCTGTGCCAACTTCTTGTGCCCCTCCAGCCTTCTCACTGGCTGGGCATGAGAACCTGAAGAATCCTTGACTTGTTGCCAAGTAGTGTTTAGACTAACTGAAAACATCAGTGTGTTATCAACATTCTTCTCATACTGAAACCAAAACATAGCACTGTACCAGCTACTAGGAAGAAAATTAACTCTGTCCCAGCTGAAACCAGGACAGAGGATAAGACTCGTTACTGCTCCTGGTCTTCTCAAAAGGCAGGCTTTCATGATGCAAGTCAGCAGGGAGCCATTCATGTAGCAGCATCCTGGTATGTAAGTCGCTACTGATACACCTATGCATTCGGCTGGTGTTACCATGTGCGTGATTCCCATAAAGTCAAATACCTTTCAGAATCTATGCACAATAACCCTTATCACCTGCTTACAGTCCTGCAACAGTAAGGTGTAAGTTATAACAAAGATTTCCTCTATCTTGCTGTAATCTGCTTATGCCTAAAAGCCTTTCTAAACTTTCTAAAGCTACCCTGTGATGCCTGAAAGTATTTTGGCTACGTCAGCCCATGGAAGATGTTTACAGTTTAAAAAAATAATTGTGATTTTTGAAGAAAGCTACAGAGAGTGCTGGCAAACACTTGTTGGTGTAGATAGCCATCAAGTGTTATTTGTATTTGATTTACTTTCTGATTTGCCCTTTAAGCTGCAGGAGGTGCTAGTGCAGCAGTATAACTTCTGCATGCCTTTTGTTCCTGCGCCTAGCGTGCTTCCTGTTTACAAGGTAATTACTGTATTCTGGACTGAGTGTGTGTCAAGGCCAGGTACTTCAGGCTGCTGAGTTTATTGGCTCATGGAGTTACTGCTGTATAAACAGGAAACTCCCTATAGGTATTACTCAAAAATATACTTTTAATTAGTAAGTTAATAAGATGGAGGAGGGAGAAAAAAAGGGGGGGAAACTTAAGTTCTTGGAAGCCAACAAGTTTTTCCACTGTCTCCCAGAAGATACGGGTTTGGCTGCATTTTCCCATCGTTGTTCCTGTTTGGGTTCCCTGCCTGTTTTCTTTCCCTCAGGCTTCTTCCTCCCCCTTCTCCCCTTAGGTAATGTGATTCTCATGCTGATAGCATTAAGGGTGGTATCTATTTGTTTGCACTGGGTTTCAAGGAGGGCGAGGTTTTTCTGAATAAATAAATAAAACCTGAGAAGTGCTTTTGGAAGTGTGAGACAGACTGACCCTGGAGAGCTGAATAGTCACTTCAGTGACAAGTGAGTTAGGACAAAGCTGAGTTTGCTGGGTGGTCCCATTGATTCTGGTTTTGCGGAGAGACCTGAAGAATCTGCATTTGACAATCATTGCTGCAATGTTCCCTTGTTTGAGCACTTCCACTTTACAGAGCAGACTGTTTTTCCATCACTTGCCTTTTAAAATCCCCTAAGGTAGGGGTAGGTGATAGAGCTGAGGCAGTCAGGGTATTGCTGCTGCAGGATGTGGTGACCCTCTCTTCTATCTGTCCTGTCCCTTGCTTTCCGCTGTGCTGCCCCCAGTTCTCATGGTCATCTCTGACCTGATTTAAATTGCTAATCTGAAAGAAAACCGTTTCATTTTTCTTTGCTGGATAACTTTCCAGAACGTGAGTTGAAATGGCTTTTGAAGAGGCA